AGAGAGAGGGAGAGAGAGAGAGAGAGAGAGTGTGTGTGCCAAAATTAAAAACGGGAACAAAGGGGGAAGAAACAAAGGGGAGTTTAATGAGGACGAAGAAGGGGAGACGTAAGGGTGCTCGCTCGGGGTGTTTTCACGCGAGTGGATTTTCGCCCTCGTTTATCGCACGATCGGGTTTTTGAGCGTCCCGCTAAATATCGTGCGCATAATTTCAACTGGAGCAGACTGCAGGAACTTTACTTACGCGTAAAGCGTAATTGTTATTCGCGAAAAGTCGAATCCCGTCTCGCCCGTGAATTTTGTATATTGTTCCCGGATAAATCTCATTTTTTTTTTTTCTTTATCTAGTTAATCCGTAAAATGAGTTTTATCGTTCTCGGTTCTCCCTTACCCCTCTTACCCCGCTGCTTTATGTAACGCAGAGTTTTGCAATTTTGTGTCAATTAAAAAAAAAATTTATTAATGCCCCCGTAACGCGGTTATTCGCATGATTTTTGTGCCGCCGCTCCTGTTATCGCGCATCCCACAATGATGGGGGATGTGATCTGCATTTTTATTTTCCGCGCTATTCGGGAGCGATGTTCAAAGGTTCCCGGGCGGGCACCTAATCGCGACAAACAACATATTATTGGGGAAGATATGCAAGCGTGTTCACAACGCCGTATTCCTCATTCATGAAAGAAGCCCGGGGGGGCAGCCAGCGGAACAATTTTCGATATCGATACGCCGTATATTTTCACCATACTCGGAACTGGTTTCGCGCTTCTCTTTGTGTCGGTACGGCTGTAGCCCCGTACACGTTTTTGTTCATCGTCGAAGCGAAACAATGCCTGCGGCGTTATCCAATACCGCATGGCCAATTCGAGCCAATTCGATTTTCTTCCGTCTTTTTTCTTGTTACTTCACTTATTACTCGTGCTTTTTCACCACGTTTCACGCCACTTATGGCTATATAAATAAATTTCCGGACTCGGGAACTATCGCGTGATTGAGTGATATCAAGTGTATTTTTCGACCGTACGGTATTTTTTTTCACACGTTGCCGCGCTCTATTGTAGAATTAACAAAACTGAAAAAAAAACCTCAATAGGCGAAAATAAAAAGATAAATCGACATATGATAATTATCTTGTGAAAAATATTTGCCCTGGTATTTTATATTATTAAAAAAGGAAATTCTTTCTGCACGCGAACGGCGGGGAAAATATTTATTTCATTGTTATTCGAAATAAGTCATTACCCTGTGATATTTTTGCGATTTAAATGCAAGCGTAATTAGAACTTGGCACCAATACACAGCAGCAGATGTGAATGGGATTAAAAGGCGAATCGGATTGAAATGGAAAGCTCACCTCGCAGGCAGATGGCGAATCAAAGTGACGAACCCGTGGTGGAGGGGCCGGTTGCAGCAAATTGAAGCGGACGGGATTGAGTACCAGCGAGCAAATGTTTAATTTTAATCCGGTTTATTCTCCGAGTTCAGTCGCTCGTCGTTACAATAGCTACGTTTGTACACTCACGCGGCGCTACACACACACATTTACGCGGATGTCTCGACTCCCGCAATGATAACTAACTTGGCAATAATTAATTCGCTCGGACGGAGCGTCCTTTTTGAGTTGAAGTGGAGGCACTGAAGGCGCTGGCGCGCCTGAGTTTAGCAAAAGTTCATTCGATTAACGTAACATAGATGATCCGGTTATCTACGGTACGTTTGCGCGAGGAAGGTTGCAGAGGAGATCTCTTCGAAACGAAAAGGAAACGATTACGCCGGGGCAAGCTTTTTTTCAACGATTTTCGTCTTTTATCCCCGAAACGATAAGTTCGCGATATGACACGTCGCGCGCTCTCCTTCTCGCTCGAGGGGCTGGTGACGTCGAATATTCGATTATCCTCCCCCTATCCTCCGCGCGACGTGAAGTCAGCCGGATTTTCTAATTTTGGGCACGTTGAAATTGGGCAGGCTTCCTGAAAACCGGCTCGAAAGGGAGCGCGCAGGGCAATTACGGACTGATGGATCTGGTGGCGGGGCTCCATTGGCTGCGGGAGAATCTCGAGGCCTTCGGCGGCAATCCCGAGCGACTGGCGTTGCTGGGCCACGGCACCGGGGCGGCTCTCGCCAATTTTTTAGCCGTCTCCCCTATGGCGAAAGGTAAGGCGTTTAATCGTTTCGCGGCTTGCGGCCGAGTCGTGGGGCGCGCGTCCCGCGGTTGTCAGTCAAACAACCCTCGGTTAGTTAACGCGCCGTCAGTTTGCCGCTGACGCGATACGTCCGTTTTACAGTGGTACAGTAGCCGAACGGAAAAGCGAGTTGCGAGCGTCGAAAAATTTGTTTATATTTTTTTTTTTTTTTTGCCAACGTCCACACAGGACGTTTTATTTATTTATCGGTTTAGAGAGATATCAATTTTTTTTTTGTGCTACGTGATGTGTATATATTTATTCGACATTGCTATCGAGGGAAAATGCATTCTTTTTGCTTACTCGTGTGTTAAGGCGGAATTACGTAGTTGCAGTTCTATAAATTACGCACGCACCCCCTTACGAAGGAGAAAATCACGATTTAATCACGTTCAGCGCGCTGATTGATATATCGGTATAAGCGTCTACGGGAAGAGACACGTTAATTTGAAGCTGATTTATCGACGTTCTCGATATAATAGCGTCTTGCCCTCGCCGTGAAAAGAGTCGGCTAATAAAATATAAAACGGGGAAGGAATACTTTTGTATACATCGCGTGAAATAATGAAGGGTCAATTTCCTGTTTTGCGGAATATCCGATTTTTGAATAATAAAACGCCGATAATGTATCGCTGGTGTAATTAAAGATTTATCGGACATTCCTCGGACATTTTATTAGCCGTATTGCAATTAGCGGGAGTTTTTTTTTTTTTCCGACGAATATTACAGAGCTGATCGGGAGGGTGATTCTGCTCGGGGGTTCGGCCCTCTCGCCGTGGGCGGTGCAGCGAGATCCGCTGATGGTGAAGCGCCGCGTCGCCGATCAGACCAAATGTCCCGGTGACGTCGAGGCCGACGATATCGCACCGTGCCTTCGTTTGAAAAGCGTGGAGGAGCTACTGGCGGTGCAGCTGGATCCGCCGAGATTCACTTCCGGATTCGCGCCCTTCATCGACGGAGCCGTGCTGCCGCCGACAGTCAATCAGGTAAGGCGATTCGTCCCCCCGATAATCGATAATCTCGAGTCTGGAGAACAGTAAGTGCGCCGCATTTCCATTTGCATCTCACCATCTCCTCCTCCGCTCCGATCTGGTGGTTTTACCGCGCCGTTAGTTAATCTTAATTGCGGTTTAATCGATTGGCGTTTGCCCGGTGTGTGTCTCGGTCTCTAGAATTCGAAAGGGGTGGAAGGGAGCGCGGCCTTAAATCGGAGATGAAAGCCGCGCGATTCTGCCCACGGTGAATATATCAGGCTGACATGTTTATAGCGGTCTTTTGGTAAATGACACGCTAATGTGTTATCCGTCGCCTCGGGACAGCATTTCGGTTCCGCGTCGCTTTTTGACGCTTTAAGCCATTTTTTTTCATAAAATTTGCATTTACACGCATCGTGCTAACACGACCGCGCGCGCGCGCGCTGCGTTTAAGCGGCAAATTGCGCGCGGAATATCCACCGCGGTGTAAATAAATATAACGGCGAGTGTTAAATAAACATCGGCCGCGACACACGTTTCGTTCGCGCGATTACGGAATTCGCAAATGTTGTAATTACATACGGATATTAGCCTCGATGTCGGCCGGCCGGCGTATTGATTTTGCGCAGGAGCGAACGAGACGACAGGTAAACGATGAATCTGCTAATTGAACAGGCGACCGGCTGACGGATGACGGATCCGAGAATCGTAATAGCTACTTCGTGCATGCTCCATTAATTCATTCGTTGATAGTGTGTGTCTCTCTCTCTGGTTGCTCGCACTCGTCGCGACATCGCGGCGGTAAACGCGAAATCGAAAGAGACGGACAAACACCCACGTATGTATGTATGTATGTATCGTCGATCCATCGGGAAACGGGTCGAGTGTTTCTCTTGGAAAGTTTTGTCATCTTATAAAATATGTGCTAGTTAGGTCAATTCGTGCAAAGGAAATGAAATTGCAAATTACCAGTGAAATTATCAGTGTTGCGCTTAGATAACTTAAGGTAATCTAAATAAAGATAATATAAATTTAAAACTTTTAAACTTGTCTCTCAGATAAGATAAAGATGATTTAAATTTATCTAGATAATATTGGTAAGCAAGATGCAGGATTCAAAAACAATATTTGTATAAAACTTTTACTGTTTAGTGGGTAAATAATAAATAGTAATTAAGGATGCGAAACGTAATTAATGCAATTCTTGATGTAAATGATTTATATTATTCTAATCATATATGTTAGCGTAATCGCTTTTTGAATAATGCTTGAAAAATATTTGATACGAGCTAAATCTAGAACTTAATCAGATTTATATTTATAAAAATTTGGTTAATTATTTAACTGGCATCAATTACATGTTACATGACTTCGACGATCGTACTGCAGATCCCACACGTTAACTTAAATAATTTACAAAAAGACATTTCCTTTATCTAAGATAAAAATGAAGATAATATATAATCTCTAATCATTTAAATAAAGATAAAATAAAATCATTTCTCATCGAAATAATTATCTAGATATAATTATCCAGACAATAATTAATCTAATTTTATATAAATAATGGCAAACACTAGAAATTATATTGTATCGTTTACGTAATGACGTATCTACTTTCGAGTGACGGAGATGTATCTACTTGCTGTTTGTGCATTACTTCCGAACGCAAATAAGCGGCTCGTTTGATCAGAATTTCCAGCCCACTGCCTCTTCTTCGGGACTAATGCCGATCGTACCCGGGCCCGGCGCTGAATTCGCGGACTTTGGCGACCGTGATTTACTCTTTGGTTTGACGTCCGAGGAAGCTTGGGTGAATCTCACTAAGGAAGATTTGCAGGTAAGCCCGCGAATTCAGTGTAATCAGTGACGGTCGCAAAATTTGTAAAAATATACGAGATACAATACATTAATAATACCATAATGTACCACTCTCTCTCTCTCATTTGATTTTTCGCTTTCAAAAACCTGGTTCCAATATTACAGTTTCATATTTTATAATGTCCCTGTTTGAAAGAATAAAAAAAAAAAAAA